AATTCTGATCTCTTTCTACGGTTGCTTTAGACGAAATAGTGCATGTGCCTGTGATTTACATCAGAGGAGTTACTCAAGCCTTTTGCACATTTGAAGATGGCACGAATGGTATCACGTGACATAGAATTCTGCTGCAAAGCCGAACTTACTGTAACATAGGCCCTGGCATGGTAACCATCCGCGCGTACCGCGATCCATACCGTGGTTTTTCTTACCGCGGTAAATTTTCTCACGGTTACCGCGGTAAACCACCGTACCGTGCCAATCTTCGAGTACCACTGTAGAATATAACTATTCTTTTTTCTACTTAATTCTCAGTTGATAATCTTATTGTTTCACATTAAATATAAGTATATACAATATAATTGTTTTATTTAGTAATAAATAAAGACATTATTAGGGTATATATTTAAAATTTCTACAATGAAAGTCCTCCAAATCAGTGTGAAAAAAGTAAGGAATGGTGGATTAAGACATCTTTTGTCTAATTATTTCAATTGCATGATTGATAGTAGGAAATAAAGGAGTTCCATCCCAAGAACCAACAACCATTTTAGCTTTGAAAGTGTTTGAAGAAGTGGAATGTTGTATAAAATTAAGTTGACACCTTCTAACAGAGAATGCTCTTTCTGCATCAACTGAGGTAGCTATAACAAAGAAATAGATAAGACTCTTAAATATATAAGGAAAATATAACAGAAAGTAAAGCTTACCAGGAGCAGAGCAAAAGTCTATTCCCATCTGAGCTATACTAGGCTGATATGTCTCTACAGAATACTAGTATTGTATAACTCTACCTGAAGACTGAATAGTCAATGTAGAGACTCAAGGTTCAGACAAATAAGCTTGTATTACATTACATGAACCTTTATCAATAGTATCACACTGAGTGAGATAGTGTGAACAAGACTAAAAATATATTAGACATATATTATATAATACAAATGAAGTACTTACTAGCTGTAAAGGGTGTGTTTGTCTAGATGAAGATGTACAATTTGGATTGTATTACTTGTAGGACTACTCCTAACATTGGATTATAAGACTCTGGATCTCTTGAACCACAGTTTCAGGAAAGTTCCTCTTAGTAAACCATTCCAACTTCTTGTCTAGCAACATTACTGTATGACAAACACTATTAGAATCCTGTTACAATTTTAGGAATGTAAATAACATACTAATAGTAATAAAATATACTTCACACTCTCTAGTGAGAGTAAAGTACTTGTCACAAACAAGTATTCCAGCTCTAGCAGCAATATGAAGAATGTTAGACAAATTCTCATCCTTACTAACACATTCAAGTGCCTGACAAATGTCAAGCAACATAGGAATTACATCAGAAATGAGAGGAACCTCTACTTTTGAAAAAAGTTAAGTAGGTTCCTCAAGAATCTGTATATGAAATAGGTTAGAAGAGTTAGATAAGTACTGTAAGGACTTACTGAAAGAACATAAAGTAAATCTTGTACAAGAGTTTGTTGAGAAGAATTAAGAATGAAATTTTGAAGTTTCAAATGCTGGACACTAATTAACTGTTCAACAACAGGGTATAAGAGGAGGTATGATTCAATACAAGCAAAATCAGAATTCCACCAAGTAGCAACTCAGCAATCCAGCATTTGCTTATTACCATCAATTTTGGAGTTGGGATTATTAACTTTAGTATCAACCAACTTATTAAACCATTCCTTCAAATGTAGTGAATCATTCACCTGTTTTACAAGACCAGTAATCTAATTATTATTTTAGTATAATATATTTGAAAGAAAGAGTATGAATACCTTATATAAAACCATTTCTGTACTCTGCAACTCATTCTACTCAACCTGTACACCCCTTCCTTACATGTCAGTAATGGCTTTGTTTTGAATAGAAGTAGTAACATATGTATCATGAACTGATTGCCTATCATTATATGTACTAGTATCATCCTTAGCAAGAGAAGCAACAAGCTCCTCTTCCTCAAGTGTGAGCTGCTCCCTAGGTTCAATCATAACCTCAGCTAGAGAAGGATTAGAATCACTATAGAGCTGATAGACCCTAATCTTGACAACTTTACACAGTTTTGCTAGACAGAAAAACAACAAAAGGACTGCCTAGACATAAGTAGTAAATAGACAGCATAGTGTAACTTGTAAAACACTATACTTACCTTTGTAACAAGATTAACAATGTGAGCAAAACAACATACACACAATTTCATACTATGAAACATTAGTACAAGCTTTTCTAGCTCAGTCACTATTGTATTACAGTTACTTACATTGTCCATACAGAGTATGTGTACTTATAACATAGTAATCAGTAATGTGTAGAACATTCATAGGAATGACACATACATACTCAGTAAGTTTGTATTACTGAAGATACTGTATCAGTTCTTAGGCCAGATATTGACCTGTATAGCCCTGAGTCAGGCTAAAAGAAATATTTGTTAGGACCTTACAGTGTGGAGCTATTTAGACTGCCTTAATAATCTGAGAGATAATAGTCAAGGACAGTAATAACAACATAACTATAGTAGCTGGCTCAAAGAGCAATTATGCTTCTGTTTCTTTGTATACAGATACTAATACTGATACTATGACAGCTAGCTTGAAGAGCAATCACACTCCTGTTTCTTTACATACAGATACTAATACTAATACTATAACACTGTATCCATCATCATTGCCTCTGCCAAACTACAATGTATACTAAAGCTAAGTAATGACTTTGGCAAGCATTTACTGTTACACTTGCCTTTCAATCAAATAATACTTACTGAATAAATTTAAGGATTGCTTGATGTACCTTCCTAGAATCAGACTAGATAACTACAACTCTAAGATAAGAAGCACCTATTAGTGTTAGCAACAGTGTAGAGGGGACCTAAAGGCTCAGCAAGGGGACCCAGGCTACAACTATCCTACACAACAGAAATACAGAATGCAAGCACTAGAATGTAGTCAGAACTTGCAAAACAGGCAGAGAGAGAGAGTGAGACAAGAGTAGAGTATATAGAGTGAGCCTAAGAGTACAGGACTATCTAGAGTAGACAAGATCAAGACTACAGGACCAGTCTGATCTCATACACCTATATATACTAAACTACACAAGAGTACTCAGGGAGTATGAGCCCCTAAGAATGATAAGCTACAAAGAATGAAAGAAAGGAATGTCAAAGATAAAGGTACAAAGAATGAAGGGATGGACAAAGGGTAAGAGACTATAGAATGTACAAAGAATGAAGGAGTAGCCAAAGGAATGGAATGATGAAGTAAGGAAGGGTAGTAGTAAGAGTCAGCATACATATAGTCTATAGACAGTGCCTCTGAGGGACAGAAGTCCTGAGTTCTGGTACAGAAGGGTGTGGAACCCTTGAAACTGAAGGTAAGAGAGTAGAGAATTGTAACATCACCCCCCCTCTAAAACCAATTGTCCTGATTAGTAAACATTAGGCTTGGTTAGTAGCTCAGGCATAGGTTGGAATGGTAGGGTTTGGAAATCTGTGAGGCAGAGTTGATACAGAGTACCTAGATGAAGTCAATAGAAGTCTTAGATTGTCTTAGCAGTATGGGTGAGATTCTCAGCAGGTTCCCAAGTGTGTTCTTCAACTGGGTATCCCTTCTAGTAGATAAGGAACTTAAGTTTTCTGTACACTAGCTTAGTATCTACTACATACTCTACTTTGTATTCTAGTTCAGAACCAATGAGTTCTGGTGGAGGTAGTAGGGGTCTTTATTATGAAGGAAAACCTAGATCATAGTATCAGGACAGTAGAACCTTGTTAAACACTAGGTGTATGTACTTCTATGTTGCTGGAAGTTAGAGTTTGTAGGCAGAGACACTGACCTTCTTTTCAATAACAAAGGGTCTGAAGCACTTGTTGTCCAACTTCTTCATTAGACAATCTATGGTTAGGTTAGTAGCTTCTAGCATAACTTTGTCACTAGGCTGGTAATCCTTGGCTGCAGACCTCTTCTAATTATAGTTCTGCTTCATAACCTGTACTGCCTTTTCCAAAAGAGCTTGTGTGTCCTCCCTAGTTCTGTGCATCTGTTCTACAAAGTCTGTTACAGATTCAGAACTACTGTTCTGGTTTGGAACTGTCCCCTAGTACAGATGTCTCTCATGATTGAGGAAGAATGGGGACTGTCCTGTTACAGAGTGTTACTAGTTATTGTGCACAAATTCTGCTAGAGCTAACCATTCAAACCAATCTAATTACTAATGATTGATAAACATTCAGAGGTAGAGCTCAATCTCCTGATTGACTCACTCAGTTTGACTGTCAGTCTATAGGTGATAGGTAGTAGAAGGGTTCCCTTGAATTCTGAGAAGTACATACAAGTCCTACATGAATTTCAACTCAAATTACAGTCCACAATCATGAATGAGCTTCTGAGGGAGTCTGTGTAACTAGAAGATGTGATCCTGATAAATGTACACTATGCCTTCAGAAGTGAGTTCTGTTTGGGTCAGAACTGTATGGACTTGCTTAGAGAATCAGTTGACAATCACACAGATAGTGTTGTAACCCTAAGACTCAGGTAGCTCACTAATCAGGTCTACTGAGACTTCTTCCTAAGAGTGATCCAGAATCTAATACAGATGTAGAGGAGCCCAAACCCTTGTCTGGTGGGCCTTAGTCTGTTAGCACATATTGTAACTAGTCACATACTTCAGGATTTCCCTCTACATTCTAGGCCACCAGTAGTTCTGAGTAATAAGTTCCTGTGTTTTGTGTCAGCCTAAATGTCCTACAGTCAGATTGTTATGATAAGCTTGGACAATGTCCTCCTACAGTTTCTGATCCTTTAGAATGTACAGTCAGCCTTCCTAGTAAACCTGTCTATCCTTATCCTCCTCCCAATCCCTAGCCTGCTTCTCTAGTTGCTTCACTACAACCTAGTCCTGTGTGTGTCTCAGAGCTTACTGTATGTGGGTGACAAAGTCAACATCCTTGGATTCAAGTCAGATCTCTCAGATTGTCTTAGACACAAAACAGGAATTGTCTAGGAGAATAAGATTTTCATTATCATTCTCCCCCCTTTCATAACCTACTTGTCTCAAGAGTAAATTAGCTTTTGTCATTTGTGTTCCAGGTTTGTAGGTCAGTACAAAGTCAAAGTCCTACAGTTCTAACATCCAGCAGGCTTGATAGTAGTTGAGCTTCTAGAGAGCCTGGAAGTACTAGAGATTAAGGTGATCACTCTAAATCTTAAACTTCTGTATAGTACTAAGGAGATATTAATGCTACTCTTCTAGGGAACAGACAATT